CAGTGCGTGTTGGCGCGTGTCTCTGTGCGTGTTTGTGTGAGTGCGTGTCTCTGAGTGTGTGTATCTCTGTGAGTACGTGAGTGCGTGTCTCTCTGCGTGTCCGTGCGTGTCTCTGTGCGTGTCTCTGTGCGTGTGTGCGTGTCTCTGTGCCTGGGTATTTTGTACCATCGGACACTCCACCCCCACAACTCCCAATTGGTGATGGGGCAGTTGTGGAGAGAGTGGAGAGTTTCCCATACCTGGGCAGTGTGCTTATGACCGGCTCCAGTTTATCAGCAGAGGTCTCACTCCGAATCAGTCGAGCGGCAATATCTTTTCATCGGTTGCGTAACGCTGTGTGGAAGCTACCTGGTCTGTCGCTCCGCACGAAGCTTCGGGTCTTCTCGGCCACGGTCATTCCCTCCCTTCTCTACGCTTGCGAAACGTGGACCCCCCTAGTGGAGCATCTTCGCCGGTTGGAAACATTTAGGCTGGCCTGCCTACGATCCATCTTGGGTTTAACCAGGCTGGATTGTGTGAGGAGCTCACAAATCCTTGAAAGATCTGGGCAAAGTCCCATCAGTGAGCTCCTCCGGCAGGCAAGGCTGCGTTGGCTGGGTCATGTAGCCCGCATGCCCAGCCACCGCATGCCTAAACAGCTTTTGTTCGGCTGGATCGAGGGGGCTAGACGGGCGCGGCACGGGCTGGAGAAGAGATGGAGTGATGTGGTACAGGAGGACGTGGAGCTGAGTGGACTTGCCGATGACTGGTACCAGCGGTGTCAAGATCGGCCTCAGTGGAGGAGGCTCGTGAAGGACGCTACTGGGCAGTTGGAGGCAGTCGCCCTCCAACAACAACGGAGGGCGGAGGAGCGACGCTCACAACAACGAGCGGAGCGCCGGGTGGCTAAAGCACAGCAAGTTGGTACAGTAGGGGGCACAGGTGGTGCATCAGCCAGTCATCTCGGTCATCTCGGTCAGTCGACCCGTGGCACCTGGGTCTGCCCCGTGACCTCCTGCCAGCGGGCGTTCGACACTTCACGTGGCCTCAAGGTGCACTTGGCCTGGCACAAGCATCGTGGTGACGTCACCGCCACTTAGTGGCGAATGGCGGTTGTTGTTGTTGTTTCTGTGATGTGCGTGCGTGTCTCTGTGAGTGTGCGTCTCTCTGCGTGCGTGTCTCTCTGCGTGCGTGTCTCTGTGCGTGAGTGTCTCTCTGCGTGCGTGTCTCTGTGCGTGCGTATCTCTGTGCGTGTGTGTCTCTGTGAGTGTGTGTCTCTCTGCGTGAGTGTCTCTCTGCGTGCGTGTCTCTGTGCGTGCGTGTCTCTGTGCGTGCGTGTCTCTGTGAGTGTGCGTCTCTCTGCGTGCGTGTCTCTCTGCGTGAGTGTCTCTCTACGTGCGTGTCTCTGTGCGTGCGTGCGTGCGGGTCATCATGACTTCGTCTGGAATCAAACGAAGCGACAAATCAAAACAGGAGGAGATGGCGGCGTGGGCCGTCCCCGCGTGGCTTTAAAAAACACACGAGAAAAAAAACCCCTACATGACTATATTTTGACGGGAGGGTGGAGGGGTGGATAATGGCCCACAAATAGTCGCGTGCTCTTGACGTTTAAAACAAAGGGGGAAACAAAACAAAATTAACGGAGACAAACGCCTTCGCTTGCGGGAGCGTCGCCGTTTCCTTCAACGAAACAAGTCGGTGGCAATTCCACATTCCTATGACGAGGGGGGGGGGGGGGCAACCGTGCTTATTGGAGGCTAGCCTGGTCTTATGAGTTGCATGCACGTACGTGTGTTGAACTTCTTTCGCACCGTACGTAGCCAACCGTGCTAATTGGAAGTGCGGGGGAAGGATAACAATCTATGAGTCTCTGTGTGAGTCTATGAGTCTCTTTGTGAGTCTATGGGTCTCTTTGTGAGTCTATGGGTCTCTGTGTGAGTCTATGAGTCTCTTTGTGAGTCTATGGGTCTCTTTGTGAGTCTATGGGTCTCTGTGTGAGTCTATGAGTCTCTTTGTGAGTCTATGGGTCTCTTTGTGAGTCTATGGGTCTCTGTGTGAGTCTATGAGTCTCTGTGTGAGTCTATGAGTCTCTTTGTGAGTCTATGGGTCTCTTTGTGAGCCTATGGGTCTCTGTGTGATTCTATGAGTCTCTGTGTGAGTCTATGGGTCTCTTTGTGAGTCTATGGGTCTCTGTGTGAGTCTATTTGTCTCTTTGTGAGTCTATGGGTCTCTTTGTGAGCCCATGGGTCTCTGTGTGAGTCTGAGTCTCTGTGTGAGTCTATTTGTCTCTTTGTGAGTCTATGAGTCTCTCTGTGAGTCTATGGGTCTCTTTGTGAGTCTATGGGTCTCTGTGTGAGTCTATGAGTCTCTGTGTGAGTCTATGAGTCTCTTTGTGAGTCTATGGGTCTCTTTGTGAGCCTATGGGTCTCTGTGTGATTCTATGAGTCTCTGTGTGAGTCTATGGGTCTCTTTGTGAGTCTATGGGTCTCTGTGTGAGTCTATGAGTCTCTGTGTGAGTCTATTTGTCTCTTTGTGAGTCTATGGGTCTCTTTGTGAGCCCATGGGTCTCTGTGTGAGTCTATGAGTCTCTGTGTGAGTCTATTTGTCTCTTTGTGAGTCTATGAGTCTCTTTGTGAGTCTATGGGTCTCTGTGTGAGTCTATGAGTCTCTGTGTGAGCCTGTGGGTCTTCACGTGAGTTTATTTACGCGCGTATGTTGAACTTCTTTCGCACTGTACGTAGCCAACCGTGCCAATCGGAGGTCGTTTTCCTGCGGAAGATAACGCTCCCGAGAGCGTGGCGTGAACTCCGTGTTTTTTTCGCACGGTGTTTTGTTTGTTTGTTGTTGTTGTTTAACGTTAGCGCACACGTGACAGATTAGACGCGCCCCATGGTTCACGTTTCCACTGGTTCCGTAAACCGTAGCGGACGCGTTATCATCTCGTCGTTGTCTTCACTCCGTTATCATCTCCCCGTTGTCATCTCTCCGTTATCATCTCCCCGTTGTGTCCATGGCTGATCCCAAACCCCCCGCCCCCCTAACCGCCCTCCCCCCTCGCTGTCTCAAGCGCGAAGTCAAATTCCCATGCAGCTACCGACCGACCGACCGTAACGATTCACTTGACAGATTGTGAAATAAAACTTATCCGTTAACATCGGATGCTCGTGGTGCCAGGGTGTCTGCTGTCTTCCGTGTGTCCTTCTGCACCCGCGTGTGATTGCTTGTCCATCTGTACTTAGTTCTGTCTGTCTGCCCGTATATTTGTTTGTTATTACATCTGTCTGTCTGCTTGTCCACTCTACCAAACATTTTCCCGTCGATCTACATCTGTCCGTGTGTCCGCCTGGCTGTCTGCTCCTGCCGAACTCCGGCTGTCTCTCCCTGTCTCTCCAACTGTCCGCGCATCCGTCTCTGTGTGTCCGTCCATCTGACCGTACATTTGTCGGTCCGTCACTGCGTCCACGTGTCCGTCTATGTGGGGGATCTTTGTCTTTGTCCGTCCATCCGACCATGTGACTTGGGAAACATCCATTTAGTCTGTCTGCCTGTCTCTCCATCCACGTGTCCGTTTGTCCATCCGTCCGTTCACCTGGCCACGTCTCCCGTCTGTCTGTCTGTCTGTCGGTCCATCGCTCCGTCCATTCTAAACTCTTTTTAAATCCTTTATATTAAGTTCACTTGCTTGCTTGCGCGCTTACGACCGTGCAAATCTTTTGGTCGTTTTTTAACCCACTTCCCGTGATCCAATCGAAAGAACCAAGAAGATGAATCCCTGCAGCCACGAAAGCTTTAAATCTAAACAACAACTTCGCCGCTCCGGGCTTGCGATCGCGTGCCTGTGCGCAAGCGTTGGCGCTCGACACTTGGCGTGGCCTCGGAAGTGCACCTGGCCTGGCGCAGGCGCCGTGGTGACGTTCACCGTCGCTTGGTGGCGAATGTCAGCTGGTATCGGTATTGGTTTGGTGCTTGCTGACAGCACTTGCCACCCCCCCCCCCCCGCCTGCGCGCCGGTGGAGGTGGGTGGTGTTGGGATCTTTGTCTTCACGTTTTCAGTTTGTGCCGCGTGTTTGCGCTCAAAAACGAATTTCCCTGGCGCAAACCGAGCGCCGCTTCGGGTGCGTGAGAGCGAGCGGTGAGAATCTGCCCGGTTGCAAACGAGCGAAATGAAAACATCAGCTTTGTCCCCCCCCCACCGCCCTCTCTCTCTCTCCCGGCACTAGTGACACTTGTTGAATAACTCACGTAACGCATTCGATCGCATCGGGGTGCCACGGTGGCTCGGAGAGATGTTAACTGCCTCGCCCGGTATGCAGGAGGTCGTGGGTTCGATCCCGACCCCTGACGACTGCTGTATGTTTGGAGTTTGCGTGTTTCTCTCATCATCATCACGGTGGCTAGGAGATGTTAACTGCCTCGCCCGGTATGCAGGAGGTCGTGGGTTCGATCCCGACCCCTGACGCCTGCTGTATGTTTGGAGTTTGCGTGTTTCTCCCCGTGGTGGCGTGCACTTCTCCTGCACGTGCTCCGGTCTGTGATATCCACTCGCCGCTGATGTTAGCTGTGGCCAAGAATGAAATTCGGAGCGCCGGGTTCTCGACGCTGTGCGCTCATCATTGCACCACCGCTCCACCCTGAGTGGTGACGATCATGATGATGATGATGACAATCGCGACGATGAGTGTTATGATAAAAGTGATTAAGATGGTGACCATGATGGTGATGATGATGACTGTTGATGGTGATGATGATGGTGATGATAATGATGATGATCATGATGGTGATGATGATGGTGATGATGATGATGATCATGATGATGATGATCATGATGATGATGATCATGATGGTGATGATGGTGATGATGATGGTGATGATGACGGTGATTATCATGATGGTGATGATGACGGTGATGATCATGATGGTGATGACGACCGTGCTGAATCACGCTCATGATAACGACGACGACGATGATGACAATTGCGATGCCTGCCCTTTGACCCCTCTCCCCCCCCCCCGTGTCGCAGTGATGTCCCAGCAGCAGCAGCGCATGGTTCCCAGCGGAGGGGGCATGGGCTCCCCAGGCATGGCTCCGCAGAGTCCCCCGACCTCGGGCCCCCCACTCATGGCCTTGGGCAGCCCCCCAGCGATGGTGGCGCAGCAGCAGCAGCAGCGGCAGCAGAAGATGAGGCTCCAGCGGCTGCAGATGGAGAAAGACCGTCTACGCATGCGACAGGAGCAGCTCATACGGCAGGTGGGAGCGCGGGGTGGGGTGGTTGTTGGTCATTGGCTCGAACATCGTCATCATTAAATTTTGATTTAAAGCTTTCGTGACTGCAGGGATTCATCTTCCTGGTTCTTTCGGTAAAGTCACGTAGAAGGGAAGTAATAAAAAAAAACATAATAAAATAATTCTCACGGCGTTTCGGCCACAACGCAAGCAGCCGTCCTCAGGTGAAGACCAGGTCTGTCGGGGAGACAGCGTCTGAATGAAACAGCGTCTGAATAAAACATTCAGACGCTGTCTCCCCGACAGACCTGGTCTTCACCTGAGGACGGCTGCTTGCGTTGTGGCCGAAACGTCGTGCGAATAATTTTATTACGTTTTATATTTATTATTTTATTACTTCCCTTCTACGTGACTTTACCGAAAGAACCAAGAAGACTGTCATCATTGTCGTCGTCGTCATCATGATCGCCTTCTTCATGGCTGTCATCGTGGTCGTCATCGTCGTCGTCGTCGTCTTCATCGTCGTCGTCTTCATCATCATTGTCATCATCATTGTCATGGTTTTTGTCATAATCGGCATCGTCATCATCATAATCGTCGTCATCATCGTCGTCTACATCAACATCGTCGTCGTCAACGTCGTCACCACCACGGTCATTGTCATCATTCTCGTCGTCGTCATCATCATCATTGTCGTCGTCGTCGTTGTCATCGTCATTATCATCGTCATCATCGCCGTCATTATCATCGTTATCATCGCCGTCATTATCATCGTCATCATCATCGTCATCATCATCGTCATCATCATCGTCATCATTGCCATGGTCTTTGTCATAATCAGCATCGTCATCATCATAATCGTCATCGTCCTTATCAGTATCGTCGACATCTTCATCATCGTGGGTGGGTATGCTTATGTCTGGCTGATGGCGGGGGGGTATCTCTTGAAGTGCTGGGGGGGGGGGCTGTCAGTATTTAGTGGTGGGGGGGCTGGGGGGGTGGAATGTTCGAAGCGGAAGACTCAGGGCCACCGTGTCAGGTCTGGCGGCTCGAAACGGCGCGACGGCAAAACCCCTGGAACTTCCCCCCCCCTGCCCCCCCCCACCATCCAACGTCGTCTGAGCACGGGGGCCTTCGTGGGGCCTCCGTGGGGCCTTCGTTGGACCTTCGCAGGACAATCTATATATATAAAATCGCGAATCTGTCTGTCTATCTGTCTGTCTGTCTGTGTGTGTGTGTGTGTGTCGCCGGACCATACGCACTTTTATTGGACGGCGGTTGCCCCTGGCAACGGGTAGCGACGCCTTCGCCGCTTTCATTGGACGCCGGTTGCCCCTGGCAACGGGTAGCGACGCCTTCGCCGCGGGCTGCAGTTTCATTGGACGGCGGTTGCCCCTGCCAACGGGTGGCCACGCCTTCGCCGCTTTCATTGGACGGCGGTTGCCCCTGGCAACGCGTAGCGACGCCTTTGCCGCGGGGTGGACGCCATTTTGAATTACCGTTAAAAATAGGCGCACGCATTTACACGCGACTCTCACGTAAATTCATCAAAGTTTCACGTCCTCTTCAGGGTCGGTACATTAGAAAATTCTAGCGATTACACTGTATTATTGTAGCGCGGGGGGGGGGGGGGGAGCGGCACACGTACCCTGCCTCAGCCGAGTTGGAAAATCAGGCGATGCCGGAGGCTCTGCACGGTGCTAGGCCTCGACACCCACCACGCTACTCTGAGGTAAATTCATAAAAGTTACACATCCTCTACACAGTGGTGAGGGAGGGAGAGCGGTGAGGGAGGGAGAGCGGTGAGGGAGGGAGAGCGGTGAGGGAGGGAGAGCGGTGAGGGAGGGAGAGCGGTGAGGGAGGGAGAGCGGTGAGGGAGGGACTCCGCCTCAAAACGAGTAACTGGTGTGGCGTATTAACATCGCCACTGGGGAGACAAAGGCGGCCGGGCGTGGTGGATACAAGTCCCGGGCGAAGCCGAGTAGTACAGCTAGTCGTCATGTATAATAATAATAATAATGCACTATGAGACCTCCTTTACCAGTGGCAAAATATAATATATAATATAGTAGTAGTGTTAATATTCTTAGGTTTTTTTCGGTAAAGTCACGTAGGTAAAAAATTTAAATTAATAAAAAGTAAAATAAAAATAAAATAAAAATCACGACGTTTCGGAGGCAACACAAGCTTCCGTCTTCAGGTGGAATAGTCAGCACGATAGCTGTATCACTTGATGCTGTGACTGTTCCACCTGAAGACGGAAGCTTGTGTTGCCTCCGTAACGTCGTGATTTTTATTTTATTTTTATTTGACTTTTTATTAATTAACATTTTTTACCTACGTGACTTTACCGAAAAAACCTAAGAATATGAATCCTTGCAGTCACGAAAGCTTCAAATCTAGAAGTAGTGTAAATGCTTAGCCCGAGCTCTCAATACTCTGATAGTGCGCTGTTTTTGAGTTGTACGCCTTTTGGCGTCATCTGGTCCAACACCAATGGAGACTAGGCTCTAAGGAAAGCTGTCTCGGGTGTAGACCAATCAACTTCAAGGACAGTGCATACATTATCAGAGTTGTGTGTTTTTGTTTGCATTATGACTGCAGGTATTGTGGTCTATGCAAACATGACTCCTTGTAAAAAAGGCGTCAGTTTTGTTGCCAGATAGAAGGGTAAAAAAACAATTATCATTATCAGAGTTGTTTCTTTTTGTTTGCATTTTGACTGCTTGTGTTGCGGTTATTGCAAACATGATGCCTTGTATAAAGGTGTCAGTTTTGTACCAGTTTAAAGGGTAAAAACCTACTACAATAATAATGCAGATAATAAATTAAGAGGGCGAACGCCACTTGGAAAAAATTGTTCTATCTTCCAATTATTAACACGAAAGAATGTTTCGATTTAAAGCTTTCGTGACTGCAGGGATTCATCTTCTTGGTTCTTTCGGTAAAGTCACGTAGAATGGAAATAATAAAATAATAAAAATAAAACATAATTGGTTCTTTCGGTAATGTCACGTAGAATGGAAATAATACGTGACTTTACCGAAAGAACCAAGAAGATGAATCCCTGCAGTCACGAAAGCTTTAAATCGAAATCGTCACCGAAAGTTTTGCTCGGGGTTTCTTTTCTTCCGGCTCACATCCGCCACCCAGTGGCAAGTGGCCGAACGACAGCGGGCTCGGGTCTTACGAACCGAATCTGGAATCGGAATATTTTAGATTTTTTTTTATATCCCTGGAGGAATCCCCGATGAGGCTTTGAAGCCGTTTTTTTTTTACCCCCACCCCCCCTGAAACCAGAATCGAAATATTTATTTTCACTGGAGGAATCCGAAGAGCTGTCAAGCTCTTTTTAACACGTAGGCTTTTCGCGACCAATATCGTCCATAATACAGTTTTTTTTGGGTAAGATCGCGTAAATATAGAAACGTGTCGTTAAACCCGCCACCACCCGACACAGCCAATTAGTTAGGTTAGAGTGGGGGGGGGGGTGGGGGAGAGTGGGGGGGGTGGAGGAGAGTGGGGGGGGAGTGGGGGAGAGTGGGGGGGGGGAGTGTGGGGGGGGGGGGAGAGTGGGGGGGGAGAGTGGGGGGGGGAGAGTGGGGGGGGTGAGGGAGAGTAGGGGGGTTGGAGAGTTGGGTGGGTATTACCGTGGCTAGGAGATGTTAACTACCTCGCCTGGTATACAGGAGGTCGTGGGCTCGATCCCGACCCTGACGATGCCTGCAGTGTATGTGGAGTTTGCGTGTCCTCTTTCCCCGTAGTCTCGAGGATTTTTCTGCCAGAGGTCCTCCCTCCCCTCCCTCCCCTCCCTCCCCTCCCTCCCCTCCCTCCCCTCCCTCCCCTCCCTCCCCCCCTCCCTCCCCCCCTCCCTCTCCTCCCTCCCCTCCCTCCCCTCCCTCCCCTCCCTCCCCTCCCTCCCTCCCCTCCCTCCCCTCCCTCCCTCTCCTCCCTCCCTCCCTCCCCTCCCTCCCCTCCTTCCCTCCCTTCCCTCCTTCCCTCCCCTCCCCTCCTAAAATCCGACTTGATTCTGCACCCAGGAGCGCGTGCTGAGGACTCAGCTCCCCATGGACATGGAGGCTGTACCGCAGCACCCCGTGTCGCCGCCCGGGATGGTGGCGGACATGCGCGCCATCACCACCAGCTCCGACCCCTTCCTCAGCAGGCATGAGGCTCATCCCCCGCTCACTCGAGTCGCTGCATCCGTTGAACGCGTCGAGTTTGAAACCCGCGCGGTCTCTGTGCGTCTCTCTCTTTTTTTTTTACGATCAGTGGAAACAAGAAGATGCTCGGTGTTTTCGGCACTTTGCTTCGTTCATCATTTAGTAAAAATTTTTTTTTTTACTTGGCTTTATGTAACCCCCCTCTTGCTCACTCTCTCGCTCGCTCTCGCTCGCTCGCTCTCTCGCTCGCTCGCTCTCTCGCTCGCTCGCTCTCTCTCTCGCTCTCTCTCTCGCTCTCTCTCTCGCTCGCTCTCTCGCTCGCTCTCTCGCTCGCTCTCTCGCTCGCTCGCTCGCTCTCTCGCTCGCTCTCTCTCTCTCGCTCATTCTCTCGCTCACTCTCTCGCTCACTTTCTCGCTCTCTCTCTCTCTCTCGTTCTGCACGCAGCCCTTCTCGCAGTCCGACGGCCTCCGACGGGTAGCTCATATCAGCACGCAGAGCTCCCCGTCATCTGCCACCGAGCACACGGCCTCCTCCATCGCCCACTGCCCCTTGCGTCTCTCTCTGTGTGTGTGTCTCTTGTGGGGAGAGGTGGTGCAGCGGTTAGCTCTACGCTGCGCTACGAACCCGGCGACCCGAGTTCGATTCCCGCTCTCGGCCAACGATTATCTGACGATTATCTGAACCGGTTCTGGGCCTCCCCCTAGGTCGACTCGGCCTCAAATGAGTACCTAGCGCGGTGTGTAAACATTGCCACTGGGGAGACAAAGGCGGTCGGGTGTGGTGCTGGCCACCCACCCCCCTCGTGTGGCGTTCCGGCCTTCATAGGTGCTCGCTAACAGCACTTGCCCCTAAAGTCAGTTAAGGCTACACGGGGGATCTTTATCTTTTTGTGTCTCGACGGGTCTCTATGTCTCTATGGATCTGTGAGTCTCTATGCATCTCGCTGTGTCTCTTGATCTCTGTGTTTCTCTGTGTGCCTGGATCTCTATGTCTCTCTCTCAGTGTCTCTCTGGATCTCTCTGTGTTTCTCAGTGTCTATGGACCTCTATGTATCTTTCAGTGTCTCGATTGATCTCTATATATCTCTGTGAGTCTCTATGTATCTCCCCATCTCTCTCTGTGTCTCTATGGATCTCTGTGTATCTCTGTGTATCTGTGAGTCTCTATGCATCTCGCTGTTTCTCTATGGCTATCTCTATGTATCTCCCTGTCTCTCTGTGAGTCTCTATGTATCTCCCGTCTCTCTCATCGTCTCTATAGATCTCTGTGCATCTCTGTGACACCGCGGGTGTCTCTCTGTGACCCAAATGAGACTTCCCCCATCTGTTGAGCTGGGGGTTTATGCCCAAAAAAAAATCTACGTTCGAAACTTACATCCGCCCGTCTTGCGTGCGTGTGCGCGTGTGTGCATGCGTGTGTGCCTGTGTGTGTGTACGTGTGTGTGTGTGCGTGCGTGCGTGCATGTGTGCGTGCGTGTGTGTGTATGCGTGTGCGTGTGTGCGTGTGCATGTGTGCGTGCGTGTGCATGCGTGCGTGTGTGTGTGTGCGTGTGCGTTTGTCTATCCGCTGGGCGGACGAGCAGCGGCGGGACGTTCCACTCGCGTGACGAGAGCACGGACAGCGGCCTGGGCCTGAGCAACTACAGCCTGCCCCGCACGCCGGAGGACTTCCTGGGCAACGTCGAGGAGATGGACACGGGTAGCGCTGCCGTACCCTCCCCCCGCACCCTCCCCCCGCACCTTCCCCCCGCACCCTCCCCCCGCACCCTCCCCCCGCACCCTCCCCCCGCACCCTCCCCCCGCACCCTCCCCCCGCACCTTCCCCCCGCACCCTCCCCCCGCACCCTCCCCCCGCCCGCTCCCCCCGCGCCCTCCCCCCGCCCCCGCCCCCCGCACCCTCCCCCCGCACCCTCCCCCCGCACCCTCCCCCCGCACCCTCCCCCCGCACCCTCCCCCCGCACCCTCCCCCCTATCCGCCACCCCGCAGCAAACCTCCAGTTGGCACGGTTGGCTACATGCCGCGCGAAAGAAGCTCACCATTCGCACGCACAACATACGCACACGCGTGCAACATACACACGCGTACAACATACGCTCGCACAATATACGCACGTATGGACGTACGTACAACATACGCCACGTGCGTTCACAAACGCGCACGTGCAACATAGGCACATACATACACACACACGCACGCACAACATAGGCAAACACATACACACGCACACGTACAACAAACGCACCTACAACATACGCACATACATACACACGCACAACCCGCCGCTAACCCTTAACCCCCCTCCCCGCCCCCCCTCCCCGCCCCGCCGATCGTCCACGCAGGCGAGAGCCTTGGGCCCAACGGGGCCATCCCTCCGAGCGGCGCGGGGCCCCAGACCTCGACACGCTTCCCCGACTTCCTCGAAGCCGTGCAGGGCACCGCCGGGGAGCTGGGCGCGTTGGAGGGCGCCGACGGCATGGGCGTCGACGGCGAGGACTCCCTGATGCCCTCGCTGCAGGAGGCGCTGAGCTCCGACCTGCTGAGCGACGTGGAGTCGGTGCTGAACCCCTCGAAGCTGGAGCAGGAGAACCTCCTCACGTGGCTCTGAGTGCCGTCGCTTCCCGTCGCTTGCGGCCAAAGGGCGCGCTCGCGCTCGTGATGGCGAGGTCGCTGGCGGGAGTTGGATGGGTGGTGGCGGTGGCGGTGCGTGGAAGAGGCGGGCGGGCGGTGGGTTGGGTTGGATTTCTTCCAGTTCGGTGTGGTTCAGGTGTGGTTCAGGTGTGGCGGACGGAGGGGGAGAGGGGAGGCTGCAAGGATGTCGAAGGTCAGGAAGGGTCAGCGGGTCGCCAAGTCGTTGGGTAAGGAAGGGGGCTGCTTTGTAAAAAGAAAAGTGAAATAACGGGTGCTTCAAAAAAATGTTAACACTCTTTATGGGACTCTCGTTTTTAGTGCAAAACGAACGGATACTAATACACTGCAACATGATAACAAATGTAATGTCAATAGCTTCAAAGAGTCCTCCACTCGTTCGCCACCGTTGGCAATGCTTGCCCCGGAATCTTCTCCAGGTGGTCTCCAGAGCCCCGGTTGGCACACTTCTCGTGGTTATTGTTGCAAATTCTCAAAAGTCTTAACCCACTTTATTTTTTTTGACGGATCCTGCAATTGTTTTCTTTTGGGGCGTCTCCGTTTGGAGGCCGCCCTGAACCGCGGTCACCTCACGGCCGCAGCTCGGCGGTGGAGATAACGGAGGTTTGGCCGCAACTATCGGCGTCCGAGGCCGTCGACGAGCCCTTTGATCGCCGCGCCGATTCAACCGGATGGAAAACGATCGCCCCAACCGGCGTGGGGAATTCCGCGATTCCCGTGGCGGGAGCGTGCGGCGAAAGCGGCGGCCGCTTATATGGCAACCGCCGTTGAAAGCCCTCGCCGTGGGGCCTTAGCTACTCCTAGTCACGTGCCTACCTGCGTTGCATCCTACCAGCTGATGGGGCGGGGGAGGTTCCAGGAGAAAACTTAAGCCCGGAGCTGAACGATCCGCAAAACGTCGAGAGGGTTGGGGGGGGGGGCGGAGCGGGGCAGGGGCCTTCCAGCCAAGCGTTTTTTTGTTTTTGACGGTGGTCGGTGTAGCGAGCGAGCCCAGGAGCAATCAGGATATCGGCCCAGCTTTGGAAGCATCGCAATGAAATAAAATCTAAAATCTTTTTTTTCCAAAATATACATGTTAACAACAAACAAACGCCGGCTTAAAGAAGATGAAAGGAGTGGAATCACTCGGGTCTCCGATAATTGGGAGGGCCGCGCAAGTGACAATGATGGCAACAGGGGTGGGTTGTGGGCGAGGGTGTGTGTAGGTGTGTGTGTAGGTGTGTGTGTGTAGGGGTGGGTGTGTGTGTGTGTGGGTGTGTGTGGGTGTGTGTGGGTGTGTGTGGGTGTGTGTGGGTGTGTGTAGGTGTGTGTGTGTGTAGGTTTGGGTGTGCGGGTGTGTGTAGGTGTGTGTGGGTGTGTGTGGGTGTGTGTAGGTGTGTGTCGGTGTGGGCAAGGGACGTTTGACTGCGCCGGTGTGGGATTGTTAAGAGAGGCAGGGCCAGGCCAGGCAGTATTGTGCCGTAGGTATTTTTGGTATTCGTTAATTTGTATTATTTCTACTCTTGTTATTCGTCGCCCGATTTCTACCTATATATTTTGATTGTCCCATTGGAGTCGAGCCCTCGACACGGAGACGCTGCCACGCTGCCACGCGTGATGGGGACAGCCCCGCACGCCCACCCTCAGCCCCACCGCCCCCCAGAACACGACGACGTAGAACTACTTCTGAAATCTCTTCAGGAGGTTTTTCACGTCTTCGAAGAGCACGCACGCACGCACGCCCCCCGCTGCTTTAAGTTCCGTAAGTAATGAATGTTTCGTCGCACGTGGCAGTACCCTGGGCCCGAAATAATAACCATAGTTTTAATTGACAAAGCGCCGCTTAAACAATCGTTCTCGGGGCACTGAGAACGATTGTTAAATTGCATTTTGTTTTTTGTTCTTCCACTCTTTGCAATTGTATATCCCGGCCGTGCTGTCGGGCGCGGCGGCGTTGTCTTCTTGGCGTGCGTTGATGGAAATCCATTCGGAGCGGTCACGGGGCAGCGCAGTCCCTACTCACTCCCGCCTGCTCCCTCTCTCTCCCCTCCTCCCTCCCCTCCCCTCTCCTCCCTCCCCTCTCCTCCCTCCCCCTCCGCGTGGTGGTGAACAGTCCCGTGGAACTATTTTTTTCCTCTCTCGAGGCTCCATCCGGTGAGCTGTGGTCCTTGCGTAACAGTAGGTGGCACCACTTAACCAACCGATCTCTCGTCCTCTCGCGCCGCGACAAACGAGTATTTTATCATTCTGAGGGGGCGGTATTTAGGCAATTTTCAAAGCGAGGTGAGCCGTCACATTCAATGCGACTTTTTTGTTGTTTGGTCTTGCAGTCATTGTGGTGATGGGGGCTGAAGGCCTTGAATTTTGCACAAACGTGAGAAGACTTTTAACATAAAACCCCATTAAAATAAAGTATCAAGGGGTTTCAATCGGAGGGTTCTGCGCTAAAGCGATGGGCGTCAAGGCTCTGCGAGCCTCCAAACAGCAGCCTTTAGTCACTGCTGGAAATTCCACATTCCTATGCCGGGCGTTAGGATTTTTAAAATACGACAAACCCAATTTTTTGTGGGACTTCCCACAAACTGGTACTCATTTAAGCGACACTGGATTGATGATGGGCTGTGGATTCTAAGTATGCTGACGACGATGATGGGTGTGGAATTACAAAGGGCTGTACTTGTACATTTGCGTGTGCCGTATTTCAACAGCGAATAGGGGCCGGGTCCCTGCGTAGCGGCGTGACGGTACGCACTCTGACCTTTCGCTCCTCTTCCATCGACTTGACGTGAGTTATCGTGGCCCCCCCCCCCCCCCACGTCACGGACGGACACACATACTGATTGACGGACACACGGATGGACACACACACTGATGGACATACGGATGGACACGCATACTGATGGACGGACACACGTACTGATTGACGGACACGCGGATGGACACACGTACTGATTGACGGACACGTGGATGGACACACACTGATTGACGGACACACGGATGGACACACACACTGATGGACATACGGATGGACACACATACTGATGGACGGACACACACACTGATGGACGGACACGCGGATGGACGTACGAACGGACAGACAGATGGACAGACGGACGGGCGGACGGACGGACATGTGGACGGAGGGGGTCGTCAGACACAGTTCAGTGATAACCTCGCGTTCCGCGGTGCGCATCTAAGAAGGAAGATGATCCAGAACATTGTTGCCACGTGGTACGGAGCGGACGGCGTTTTTTTGTTTGTTTAATTCTGAGCAGTTTCTCAAGAATGCAAATGTTGACTCAGTTTGGGGGGTGGGGGGCGAGTTGAAGGATTGGCGACACCGCAGTTGATAGACGCGAGGAGAGAGAGAGAGGTCACCCGGAGGTCACCCCGAGAGGGAAGGTGACGGCGTCGGAAAAAGATGCGAGTCTGTGCGCGCTCGCGCGCGCGCGTGTGTGTGTGTGCGTGTGTGTTGAACAATATTGTGGGGAGCGGTGGTGCAGCAGGTTTAACACGTAGGCTTTCGCGACCAATATGAAAAATACATGTTTTATGGGTTAGATCGCGTAAATGTGTCGTGAAACCCGCCACCACCCGACACAATCTGAGTGCTACACGTTGTGGATTCACTCGTAACGAATTGGCACGTTCTGTTTACGTGACAACCCTTACAAATTGGCTGTGTCGGGTGGTGGCGGGTTTAACGACACATTTATATATGTATACACGATCTAACCCAACAAAACTTCTATTAGCGCTACGCTGTGCTACGAACCCGGCCAGCTGAGTTCCTTTCCCGCTCACAGCCAACACCGGTGACGATGATTTTAACCGTTCCTGGGCTTCACCCCCCCCCCCTTAGGTCGACTCAGCCTAAAATGAGTACCTGGGTGCGGTGTGTAGTCAACATCGCCACTGGGGGAGACTAAGGGCGTCCGGGCGTGGTGTTGGCCACCCCAGCCTCTCGTGCTGCCGTGCCGCCTTTCGTAGGTGACACTCGCTAACAGCACTCGCCCCGACAGTCTGCCGAGGCTTCACGGAGGGAGGGGGGACCTTTGTCTTTGTATGGTCAACTTCTACGCAGCCGACTGCGCTCTTCTGAGTTGCGGGGCGCGGGGGAAGCGACGTCAAACTAACGCACGGAATGCAACGCGTCGTCTCTTTAACGAAGCGGGCGAACTGACACGGCAGCCACGGTAAAGCCTGTCGCAGGGTTTAGCCGGGGCGCGGTAGTTAACGTCTCGCCGCCGCAACGCCCCGGATTCGAACCCGGCAGCGGCGCCGGCTCGGCATCTCGCCGACCTCTGCCCTGTGAGCGACCCAGACCACCCAAGAGCCGCAAAAAAAAAAAACAGATCTTGCGATGATCTTTGTTCGATGTACCCGGCCGCACGCGGTAGAGTGTGCGCGCGCGCGCGTGTGTGTGTGCGTGAGCGCTTCCTCCTTGGAGACACAAATTTTGGCTAAACAGTTCCTTGGCGATCGGGGTTTGCTTAACCCCTAGCGACCGGGGATAATGCGTTGGGCGCTACAACGCACACACGTCGAGTATTTGCAAAAGCGTGTAAATAGGAAGAGGCACAAACACCGCAGAGACGCCTACTACGAGGCATCGGGTGTGCAGTAGACTCGCACAGAAAGCCATAGACACACACAGAGACCCATAGACTCACACAGAAAGCCATAGACACACACAGAGACCCATAGACTCACACAGAGACCCGTAGACTCACACAGAGACCCGTAGACTCACGCAGAGACCCGTAGACTCACACAGAGACCCGTAGACTCACGCACAGAGACCCGTAGACTCGCACAGAGACCCATACACTCACACAGAGACCTGTAGACTCACGCAGAGACCCATAGACTCACACACAGAGACCCGTAGACTCACACAGAGACCTGTAGACTCACGCAGAGACCCGTAGACTAGCGCAGAGACCCGTAGACTCACGCACAGAGACCCATAGACTCACACACAGAAACCCGTAGACTCACACACAGAGACCCATAGACTCGCACACAGAGACCCATAGACTCGCGCACAGAGACCCATAGACTCACGCAGAGACCCATAGACTCACACACAGAAACCCGTAGACTCACACACAGAAACCCGTAGACTCACACACAGAGACCCATAGACTCGCACACAGAGACCCATAGACTCGCACACAGAGACCCATAGACTCGCACACAGAGACCCATAGACTCACGCAGAGACCCGTAGACTCGCACAGAGACCCATACACTCACACAGAGACCTGTAGACTCACGCAGAGACCCATAGACTCACACACAGAGACCCGTAGACTCACACAGAGACCGGTAGACTCACGCAGAGATCCGTAGACTCGCGCAGAGACCCGTAGACTCACGCACAGAGACCCATAGACTCACACACAGAAACCCGTAGACTCACACACAGAGACCCATAGACTCACACACAGAGACCCATAGACTAGCGCACAGAGACCCATAGACTCACGCAGAGACCCATAGACTCACACACAGAAACCCGTAGACTCACACACAGAGACTCATAGACTCGCGCACAAAGACCCATAGACTCACATACAGAGATCCATAGACTCACGCAGAGACCCATAGACTCACACACAGAAACCCGTAGACTCACACACAGAAACCCATAGACTCGCACACAGAGACCCATAGACTCACGCAGAGACCCGTAGACCCACGCAGAGACCCATAGACTCACACACAGAGACCCATAGACTCACACACACAGAGACCCGTAGACTCACACACAGAGACCCATAGACTCACACACGGAGACCCGTAGACTCACACACAGAGACCCATAGACTCACACAGAGACCCGTAGACTCACACAGAGACCCGTAGACTCACACAGAGACCCGTAGACTCACACAGAGACCCGTAGACTCACACACAGAGACCCGTAGACTCACGCACAGAGACCCATAGACTCACGCACAGAGACCCGTAGACTCACGCACAGATACCCGTAGACACACACAGAGACCCGTAGACTCACACACAGAGACCCGTAGACTCACACACAGAGACCCGTAGACTCACGCACAGATACCCGTAGACACACACAGAGACCCGTAGACTCACACACAGAGACCCGTAGACTCACACACACACAGATACCCGTAGACTCACGCACAGAGACCCATAGACACACACAGAGATCCGTAGACTCACGCACAGAGACCCGTAGACTCTCACGTCTGTCCTGGAGAACAGAACCCTGCGTGTGTCGCCCGGCAGGGTTCTATTTCTCGTTGTCGCTAAAACCTTTTTTGTTAATATTGGACGTGGATTTGCGCCGTTGGCTTTCAAACGTTCCGATCTCGAAGCCGTAGAAGAATATTTTTCCATCGCGGTATTTTGAAAACCCAAAGGCTCTTAGGGCTTTCGAATAGGCGGGAAGAAACCCCGAAACAAACCTCGTAAACATTCTTCTCCCTGGCGCTACTTTGTGCGTTGCTGCATGCCTTCACCTGGGGAATCTTGCGGAGGAGGCGGCGTCATCGTAGTTGTCATCGCCGCCCATCAACCGCCCTCAACCGCCGCCATCAATCGCCGCCCTCGTTTTGAAATCTCGTCAAACGGTTGCGCGGAATTCCGGCCGGCGTTCGCGACGAAGTCGCACGGCGCAAGTCGACGATCGCGAGCGGTCGTCGTTGTTGCGACGGTGGTGGTTGCGGCGGTGGTGGTGACGGTGACGGTGGTGGTAGCGGTGGTGGTGACGGTGGTGGTGGCGGTGGTGGTGGCGGTGGTGATAGCGGTGGCGGTGTTGCTGCTGCGTTAATCTTTTAAACAGTGACCGCCATTCATGCCTGAGGTTTTAGTTATTTTTTTTACTGACACACACACGCCTCTCTCTCGCCATTGTGTGACAGATCTGCTAGCCACCGCCACCACCAGGAGTTAATTTTAAAACTTAACCCATCGTCATCGTCATCATCATCATCATCATCGTCGTCGCTATTACATGCGCCACCGCATCGTCGCCGCGAGCCAAGAGTTGGTGTTTTATCCGGACGCTCCCCCACACCCGTCTCCCGCCAGAGGAATGTGGAATTTCCAACACTAGCACAGAGTCGCCCCAGTGGAGTTCAGTTTACTCTTGCTGCCCCCCCCCCCACCGACATGAGGTGCCGCCACTGTCTGGCAAGTCGACAGCGAAATGTTCTTTGGGCAGGCCGCCCACCGCCACAGGAATGTGGAATTGCCATCGCCGATGGACGCGCGCGCGTCAAAGCCGGCCGTTTAGATTTCTGTTTTTTTTCTTTCACACGTGTACAAAGGACAAGGCTGACTTGTGCGAGTCTAACGTAGAAAGTGACGATGGTGATGATGATGATAATTGTGCACAGCCCTCTTGTCAATCTGCCGCTGGTTTGAGGGCCTTCGCGAACCGCACCGGTCACCAGAAGGGGCCGCCGTGGCCACACGCCGGTCAGTGTGGTGGGTTGGTGAACGGATCGGCAGCGGAGGAAAACCGAGGACCGGTTCGAATACACTGGTCAACACACTTTTTCTGGCATAAGGTATTCTAACGGTTTTAAGGTAATTTTGGGGTGCTGATTCCAAATCTGGCATGAGTTTTTGTCTATCGCATCAGGTTTTTTGAGATATAAAATATTGCATTTTCAATTAAAACTGCAGAAGAAAAATCATAAGTGACAGAGTTAATTTAGGGTAAAATCAATGAAAATGGGGTATGCCGATAGCATAAAATGAGATGTGATAGAGCAAATCTGAGAACAGATTTGGAATCAGCACCCTGAAATTAGTCTAAAATAGCTGCAAAGTTCAGGCCAGAAATTTTTTTTTATTGACCAGTGATATCACTCCCCCGCCTCACCCCCTCCCCCACGCATGATCTATCCACTGCTAGATGAAGGCCAGCCCTCCCGCAGTGCCACACCTGAGTATATATATTTTTTCCCTTCCTCCCCACGAACTTAGTACCGTATTTTATCTGTCCCGGAGGAATGATGGGCCCAAGGTTGATTGGCGACAACTCCGTAGCCGCAGCACCCACGACACCTGATCGCGTAAAATGCAATCGGCACGAATAACAAAAAACTCCTCCTCCTTACAAAGCCTCCGCCCGGCGAAAAATTTACAAATTGCAAACTGACATTTATATCCTGGGAATATGGTTTGTTTGTTATTTTAGTTTTTCAACCGTACCTCCGCGCGGTTACGTTTCCCCGTGGCGCCCGCTTGTCTCTTCAATTTGCGGTGGACCATGGCGACGATACGGTACGGTCCTTCGCAACAAAAAAAACATTTTTAAAAGGTTGAAGCGTGAAAAATAAAAAAACACGTGAAAAGTGGAAACATCACCGACGGGAAAATGAAAGAAAAGCTGAATTTTAACGGTCGGAAAGAGGGCGAAATTGAATTAAATGTGCCGAACCCGCGGAAAAAACCATCCGAACGGTACTCGGAATGAAAATTTCCGCTTTATAAAAAACATTGAATATCGCCTCGTTTACCGCATACCTTTTTATAGACGTGCTGCTTTTGATACCCCCTTGTTTCTTTTAGATGTAGGAATGACGATAAATATTCGAGTTATTTTTCTCTATAACCGCGCGTGTGTATATAAAGTGTTCGTCCGAAATGCATTCACGACAGTGCCTTAATGTTTAAGCATGACGTAGTTTAGCCGTGTATTTTTATACGAAATCCTTTTTAAAAAAAGTAAGAAAAACCGTTTAAAAAAAATATTAAATATTATTACATTACAAGCTAGTCTTAATTTGTCGGAGTTTTTTTTTTACGGAAATATATTCGAACTTTTTGTTGTTGTTGCCTCATTCGTGTCGACGAATTCCAGGAAACGTAGTTTGCGTATCAAAGAGAGAGAAATGTTGAGGCATTTTAAAAGTACATTTTTTAAAAACAAACATTTGCCTCATTTTTGTTCTTTTTATAGTTGAGTTTTTTTTTTCTAGAGGGTAAACAAAAAGTATACACCGAATCTGTATTTATTGTATTAATCACGAGTTGAGGGTTTAGCTGTAGCCCCCCCCCCCCCAGTTAAAGGTACCTACCCGCGGACAAAGCTGCTGTACATTTGACATTTTTACCACGCAAACAAGAGCGTTGTCGTTTTCCCGATTGTGTGTGTCCAGCATAAGCGCATTCGCATCACGAAGGTGTAACCACGCACGGGCCGTTTGGCGTCGGAGCGAGTGAGCGGTGGTGTTTTTTTTTATCCTTTATATTAAGTTCACTTGCTTGCTTGCGCGCTTACGACCGTGCAAATCTTTCGGTCGTTTTTTAACCCACTTCCCGTGATCCAATCGAGCTGACATTTTGCACACAGACTCGTTGTGCGTGACAATTTATTTTCGTGAAAAAATGTTTCAAAAATTTTCCACTTTTTAGGAATTTTTTTTTTTACTATTAAATTTAAAATACCAATGTGATAAAAATGAAACTCTTACTCAAGAAAAACAGAAATGAATAATAAAATAAAACCGATGCCACGCATATAAAGGATTTATAGTGAAAAACTTAGTTTTTACGGGTTAATTTTTTTACTATCGGCAAGACTTTCCCGCCAAAAGTGAGCGAGCGAGCGGTCGTTTGTTTAACCAATCGCAGCCAAACCTGGGAGTGACGTCACAGTGCTCCCATGAGCGGTCGCACCGATTGGCCGAGGCACGGATCCACTTGTAAGAACTCGCACGCGATTGGATATTCTCTCGCTCTCTCGCCGTCGGATACGTCTGTGGCGCCAGACGTGCTCTTAAGGGACAGCGAAAACGTCTTTTTACCGTGAATTTTTGTTTTGTTGTTTAAGTGTTATTTTCTACAAGAGGAATGCACCCGCGTTCCGGGGATTGTGTTTTAGCGACGGAATTACTTCCAGAATTCTCTCGGCGTTGCCCGTTGTTGTGCGTCAAGTCCTCTCCTGTTGCGAGAGACTTCGCGCGTGGCAACTTTGTGTTGTCGGTGTTCTTGTGGGGCTTTTTTTTTACACTACAGGCCAACACAAAGCAATATCCATTCAAATCAACCAGTTTTTGCCTGCCTCTCAAGACTGCCTGCCGACTCGCGTTCGAGGTACAAAACGTTTGTCCAATTGCATAACTTGTATTTCAAATGAAGTGAGATTTTTTAATTGTTATTGCTGTATTATTGTTGTTGTTGTTACTTGGCTGAGACCAAACCCGTTGTTATCAAGTGACTTCAGTTACGACCTCGTGCCCGAATGTGTAATGAGGTCACCGTTGTCCGTTTTAGACATCGGCCGTGAATTCCAGTAATTTACGGAGACGTTTAGTCCAATTAGGTTCTTCCATCGGTGACGAAAGAGATAATAATGGGTGGTACGATCCGGCCCACCCTCACCACCTCACCCTCACCGATCTCTTTCCCCCACTCCCACCCACCCCTTCCCCGGCAAAGATCGATGGCGTTCTGAGGGTCGTGGTTTCGATTAAAACGAAAAGAAGACACGTGGTGAGAATGACAGCGCCTCCAGTGGCTGTGGCGGGCGGGCCGGCTCGACGACGTACAACATATCCCGAATTGAACAAGCGTCCCGTTTGAATGGTGTGTGTTGCGAGCTTTAAAGGAATCGATGATTTCGGTCGCTTTCAAATGGATGGATTTGTTCGCCCAATGCGTATAATAGCCGGCACGGTTACCGTCGTCGATGCTGCCCGAAGCGATGGCCGTGCGTTGAGACTTTGCTTTTGTATTTTTCACTACAAACCTGCCTCATTGAATGACGCCAATGGGGAGTTTTCATTCATGTATACACACGTTTATATTTAGTTACTTAATGCTGTTGTTACGTTACACAGCAAGCCGCACGTTAGGAAGCGCGCAACGTGATACCAAAACGTCGCGACGGCCGACCGGAAATTCGATGTGCGACTGCGGTTTTAAAACGGACGCGTTTAGAATGTTGAGTTTGAGCCTTTGGGGGGGGGGTGGGTGGGGAAGTAGAGTCTAAATCAAATGACAGGGACTCCTCTGCTTGCAAACGAGTTAAGTTCCAGAGGTGTCTGTTCGCAAGTTGATTTGTTCGTAAGTCCAACTTTACTCCTGTCGATTCCCAACACTCTGTACGGGATGTACACTAAACACAGGGAATGGCTTTACAAGATGTATAATCTCCTGCAGATGTAGATGCCACTGGTTCTTCACGTTCTGTAGATGTAGATGCCACTGGTTCTTCATGTTGTGTAGATGTAGATGCCGCTGGTTATTGATGTTCTGCAGATGTAGATGCCACTGGTTCTTCACGTTCTGCAGATGTAGATGCCACTGGTTCTTCACGTTCTGCAGATGTAGATGCCACTGGTTCTTCACGTTCTGCAGATGTAGATGCCACTGGTTCTTCATGTTCTGTAGATGTAGATGCCGCTGGTTATTGATGTTCTGCAGATGTAGATGCCGCTGGTTCTTCATGTTCTGCAGATGTAGATGCCACTGGTTCTTCATGTTCTGCAGATGTAGATGCCATTGGTTCTTCATGTTCTGCAGATGCCGCTGGTTATTGACGTTCTGCAGATGTAGATGCCGCTGGTTCTTCACGTTTTGCAGATGTAGATTCCACTGGTTCTTCACTTTCTGCAGATGTAGATGACACTGGTCCTTCACGTTCTGCAGATGTAGATGCCACTGGTTCTTCACGTTCTGGATATGTAGATGCCACTGATTCTTTACGTTCTGCAGATGTAGATGCTGCTGGTTCTTCACGTTCTGCAGATGTAGATGCCATTGGTTCTTCGCGTTCTACAGATGTAGATGCCACTGGTTCTTCACGTTCTACAGATGTAGATGCCACCACCGCCATCTATTGCGCGGCGGCTTGAACTTACGACTCTCGATCTGAACAGACAACTGGACATACGGACATGTTTCTTCGTATCTCGGAAAGTTCGTAAGTCCCATGTTCGGAAGGAGAGGAGTTCTTGTATTTCCCGCTGCTGCTGTTGCTGCTGCCGCATTGACAGTGGTGAACAAGCAAAAAATAAACAACAACAACAATACACCCCAACACATTGGTCAAATAATAAACGCTCGTCGCCTTAGAAAGAACAGTGCTGGTTCCTCTCGCTCTGTACGGCGGCGGTGGTAGTAGCAGTTAGTCGTAGTAATTAGTGGTAGTTAGTAGTAGTTATTAGTAATAGATGCATTCCAAAAAAGAAAGGGGCGCGCAACACTACACCGCACGGGGAGACTGCTGCCTGTTTTGTTTCTTTTCATCGTCGTCGTCGTCGTCGTCATCATCGTGCAGTCACACCGCATGAAGAAACGTGAGCGGGTGGTGGCTCCGCGCATCGCGACGTGAACCCCTTCCCCGACCCGCGTCCTTCCCAAAGTCGTCTTTTTTCTGGGGCCCAGCGGTCTTTTATTTTTTTTCGCGGCTTCGCCTTCGCTGCCTCTCAGCGGCAGTGGCGGTGGTCGAGATAGAACCGCCCCCCATAAAAAATACGTTGCGGGTGTCGTAGCGACATTCTAGCGCGTGTCGAAAGCAACTTTACAATCGGGCTGTCTTGACGATTGTCTCTCGACTCGCTGCTCAATCTCACGGACTTCATAATTATCGGCGAGCTCGATTTAAAATGAACAACCTTGCCACACCCAGCCCACCCACCAAACAGCGGTACGAATCGGGAACGAGCGGCGTTGACATGTCCGAACGGCCACGCAGACGCCTATTGCAAGTCTGCATCGACCGCATTTGCTTGCGGTAAGACACGGGTTGGCTACGTACGGCGCGACGGACGTTCAACGTACATATGTACGAAACACGCAAAAAGCTGCCTCGCATTGTCCTTGAAACTGATTGGCCTAAACCAGAGTCGGCCTCCTTTTTGTGGCTTTGCCTCGCCGGCGCTGGTGAAGGACCAAAAGGACGCCAAATAGGCGAGCGGTACAAGGACCATGCAAACACGCCCGAAGCATTCAATGGCTCTGTTATTAGAATCGATTACCACCAAGCCACCATGCGGAAATAGGAAGTTTAATAGGATACGTTGAACCGGACCGTAAAATAACGTTTTTTTGGCCAAAATTATTTGCAAAGCCCCCTTTTGTTGTTGTTGTTGCAAGCGTGGGTGTACTTTGACACGGCCACAATTTTTTAAACGCTCGGCGCGCCTTGCGAACAAATTATTTTTATCGCGCGTGACATCGGTCTCGTGGCGGGCGGCTCCCGTCGGTGATTTTAAACGACGACGTGATGATGATGATGACGACGATGATGACGAGTGCGTGCGTCACCCTGTGTCGCACGACGAATAACGGTGACGTTGCGGACTTTGCCGCGTGTGCGTGCGTCGAGGTGATCCGGTCTTCGTGCATCGCGCCTCCCACCGTTTTGCAAACGGCTCCTGTGCTCCGTGTTTTATTCCTTGCGTCGCATTCGTTGTCATCGCATTCTCTGTAAATAAAATATATTTTTGTGTCGCCTGGAGCAGCAGCAGCAGCAGCAACGTCGTCGTCGTCGTCATGACGATTATTATTTTTGTATTAACTTTTTATGTACTTGACGATGAAACTTATGTAACTTTGAACAATAAAAGGTACTACGTTAGTTAGCATTTCCCGTCTGCGCGTCGTCGATTTGCCGATTTCAAATCGCGATGTCACTGCAACGCCACCACGCCAACCCAATGTGGTGGTGGTGGTGGCTGAAGTGGTAGTGGTGGTGGTGGCTGAGGTGGTGGTGGCGGTGGTGGTGGCGGTGGTGGCGGTGGTGGTGGCGGCGGTGGTGGTGGCTGAGGTGGTGGTGGCGGTGGCTGTGGTGGTAGTGGTGGCGGTGGTGGTGGCGGTGGTGGTGGTGGCGGCGGTGGTGGTGGCTGAGGTGGTGGTGGCTGAGGTGGTGGTGGCGGTGGTGGTGGTGGCGGCGGTGATGGCGGTGGCTGAGGTGGTGGTGGTAGTCATGACCCGCTTCCCATTTCAGGTGACATTTTAAAATGGGAAGAAAATGAACCGAATTGAGACCAACATTGCAATTGGTGAATGTTTTTAGATTACACCTGCTAATCTTACACAACAAAGAAACGTCTTAATTTAATTTCAAATACACGACTCGTGCAACGTGCGTTTGCGTGTTAATAAACGGAAGCCGGCTTTGAGCGTTTTGTTAAAATAACTTTAATAAAAATAAAACATAATAAAATACAATTATCACGACGTTTCGGCCACAACACAAGCAGCCGTCCTCAGGTGAAGACAGCTGTCTGTCGTGAGAATTTTATTATGTTTTATTATTGTATTATGTCCCTTCTACGTGACTTTACCGAAAGAACCAAGAAGATGAATCCCTGCAGTCACGAAAGCTTTAAATCGAAACTTAAATAACCCTTTGCGATTTGAACCTTATGGCGTGATGCAGTCATTTTTAGTCTGTCGATGGTCGGCGATGTGGCAATCGACTCATCTCGACGAAGCTGTACACGATGCAATCTTCAAAGTGGTATTTTTCGATGACGGATTTTGTCATCTTCTTGGTTCTTTCGGTAAAGTCACGTAGAATGGAAATAATAAAATAATAAAAATATAACATAATAAAATAATTTAATTATGTCTTATTTTTATTATTTTATTATTTCCCTTCTACGTGACTTTACCGAAAGAACCAAGAAGATGAATCCCTGCAGTCACGAAAGCTTGAAATCGGGATTTTGTTATGCCAATGATTGGCGTTTCGACATCGCGGAGTGGCACTGATTTCGGATTGATTGGTACCCCAGTCGCGAAGTTGAAGTACACCCCTGGGACAAAAATAGTGTCCCAGAAATAAAATATTTCATTTCCTCGGCCCATTTTGTATTATTTGGTTACCCCGGGGTACAGCCATAAGGATCAGTTGTTGAGACGACGTTATTGAATAAATAATCCTACGTGTCCTGACTTTTGGACCGCCCTGTATCCTAAACACCTCATTGCTCGTGAACTGTTGTTGATTATTCAGGTAGGAACAATGTTCCACACTGCCCACCAGGGATTATTTGTCTGTCTGTCTGTCGTGCATAAATATATATATAATATAAACAGCTCTTTGATTGGTGGAGACCTACTGCCGGGTACGGAGAGGGGAGGTGTCTAAGGAAGGGGGAGGGGCCGATAGTGAAGGGGGCTGTCTGCCTGGCTACCTCAAGTCACGTGATCTTGTACACAGGTAGGAACAACAGGTTCCACACTGCCCACCAGGGATTATTTGTCTGTCTGTCGTGCATATTTGTCTGTCGTGCACGAATTCGCTGTCCAAACAAGTTCCTACCTGCCCACTCCGAAGCAACGTGTTCAAGCAGCCGGATGGTGGCACGGTGGGGACACTTGTGGGCAATGGGGCCGCCCATAAATGACGTCACGCGATTTTGGACGATTTTTGCCCCCGCCCCCCTCTTCGTCACACGGCGTCACAAAAAGTCAGACCCCCCCCCTCAAATATGACATCACAAAGCTCTGCCCCTCCCCCCAAAACCATATTTCCATTTTGAAAATAAAACATGCTTCAAATCGCTTTACACTATTGTCATTGTAGTGCGTATTTAATCTGGCGCTGCACTGATGTTGTAGGATAAAACTAATTTAAGTCTATTTAATTAAGTAGAACGTGTTGTCTATATTCATTTAAAGTTGCGCATTTTGACGTGACGTCACATTTCTCAACCCCCCCCCCCCCCTCGTCAGACATCGTCACAAATGTCTGACACCCCCCCTAGGTGCGTGACGTCATTTATGGACGGCCCCTGAGCTATGTAGCTGTTTTACTGGTAGGAACCTCCTGGTTACACCAGCCCACAGGGGATTATTGTGTCCGTCCGTCCGTCCGTCGTGAAGGGAGGGGCTGGGTGGGGAGGGAGGAACTGGGTGGGGAGGGTGGGGTGGGGAGGGGCTGGGTGGGGAGGTGCTGGTCACCCCGTGGTGCCCTTATAAAACTCAACGTTTAACCTACTCACACCGGCTTGTGCCTGCCCTCACAGTCGGCCATATTTGCGGAATACACCACGCCGCCGTTGACCCTGCAGGCCATTGACCGAGCAACCCAACGTTCCTACCAGCTCCCTCCGTAGAAATGTGCTTTCAGAAGCGACCTGGCGATCACAAATCATAGCTCAACGAAGTGGCCTCATCATCATGAGCAATTTACAGCAGCAGCCACACACATCTAAACTCAGTGACAGTTGATTCTAAATTAATGTTGGAGGTAAAAACCGGAGGACCCAGAGAAAAAATACACGCGACCACTGGGAGAGAGAGAGAGAGAGACGCAAACTCCAAATATATACGCAGGCATCGTCAGGGTCGGGATTGAACCCACGAACCTCCTGCATACCAGGAGAGGTAGTTAACATCTCCTAGCCACCGCAGCAGCAGCCGCACAAACCGTGCTGAGTTTCTGATGAGCGTGGCCATTGACTTTCATGCAGTGCCGGATTATCCTCGTAGCAAAAGTAGCTACAGATGTAGCTACGGGCCCCGCACTTTCAAGGCCCCCCCCCCCCCCCCACTAAATGCTTTCAAGCTATCAATTCCGGTTCAGCTGATTCTGCACTTGCTCTATTACTATAGTACTATACCGCCTTCGTCGTATTATCTGGCTGTATAGCAAATGATAAAAATATAATTTCTTTGCAATGCAAGTAAAAATGTTGTTTTAATATTAACGTATTTTTAAAAATTTAGGGCCCCTTTATATATGCTACAGGCCCCTTACTAGCTTTCATGTGGTCCTTTAAGCCGGTAAGACGTTAACTGGGTTAAATCATTGATCCCGACTGCTCTTCAACACTATGCCACGTGGCTCTGATACAAGCAAAACCACGTGTGTGTTGGCCGGGTGACGTCACGCGGCATTCTAGGACTCTCAAAAGCCATGCATACACAGCTGATGAGATGAGTAAAAAATATATACTTCAGATGTTTGGGGGGGGGGGGCAGACTCATACAGAGACCCATAGACTCACACAGAGGCCCATAGACTCACACAGAGACCCATAGACTCACACAGAGACCCATAGACTCATCACAGAGACCCATAGACTCACAGAGACCCATATACTCACACAGAGACCCACAGACTCACACAGAGACCCATATACTCACAGAGACCCATAGGCTCACACAGAGACCCAGAGACTCACAGAGACCCATAGACTCACAGAAACCCATAGACTCACACAGAGACCCATAGACTCACACAGAGACCCATAGACTCGCACAGAGGCCCATAGACTCACACAGAGACCCATAGACTCACACAGAGACCAATAGACTCGCGCAGAGACCCATAGACTCACACAGTGACCCATAGACTCACACAGAGACCCATAGACTCACACAGTGACCCATAGACTCACACAGAGACCCATAGACTCACGCAGAGACCCATAGACTCACGCAGAGACCCAGAGACTCACAGAGACCCATAGACTCACAGAGACCCATAGACTCACAGAGACCCATAGACTCACACAGTGACCCATAGACTCACACAGAGACCCATAGACTCGCACAGAGACCCATAGACTCGCGCAGATTTGCTGTGTTTGTGACACACGCAGCAGCGCACACAAAATAACCAAACCGGTTACTCGTGTTAATTGCTTGACCAAGCCTGCCCGCCTCCTCTACTAAACAACAATAATAATTATTTATAATGAAGGGAGTCGTACAATTCACAAATGAGCTTCGCGTGCATATCACAGCTGGAGGTGTCTGCCGAGCGAGCCAGGGTGACGCCCACATCCGGCACGCTACTCTCCTCCAGAGTGCTCCACAAGAATTGGTATTTTGTTGTTGAAATTGGTCTTTTTATTATTATCACTACACGTTTTTTATTTATTTATTTAACTCTGTTGTTGTTGTCGTTGTTGTTGTATCCTCAAATCTTGTAACTCAATTTTAACCCACTTTCCAATGTGCTATCGACTGCAAACTTGGTATACCTATGTCATACTGATGACAATACTATATTCTATCATAAAAAAACATATTTTTAAATCCTTTATATTAAGTTCGCTTGCTTGCTTACGACCGTGCAAATCTTTCGGTCGTTTTTTAACCCACTTCCCGTGATCCAATCGAGCTGACATTTTCCACACAGACTCATTGTGCGTGACAATTAATGTTCGTAAAATTTTTCTCCAAAATTTTACACTTTTTAGGACAAAAATATTGTATTTAATTACCAATTGCTTAATGGTGCAATGCAATCATCTGACCCATAGGTGGCAGCCATCTCAAGCCAGAGGACGAGAGGACTCTAGCCGCCACGCATATAAAGGATTTATAGTGAAAAACTTTGTTTTTACGGGTTATACTTGTTAAACATTATTTTTTAAAGGTTACGTTTCGGCTTGGGTCTAATTGTCCATGGTCAACTGACGTTGGCTATAATTGGCCACGGTCCCTTACGTTGTGGCAAGCTTCGGGGCCACTTCCTGGAGTCGTGGAGTTCTTCCATTACTAGTACGGTACATTTAATTAAAGCGTGTTCTAAAAAAAAAGTATTTTTTAATATTACTTATTATTTTTACACGCTTTCATTTAACTCACTCTGTTGTTGTCGTTGTTGTATCCTCAAATCTTGTA